AGGTGGTCTGGTATTCCCATCTCTTTAAGAATTTTCCACAATTTGTTGTGATCCACACAGTCAAAAGTTTTAGCATAATCAGTGAAGCAGAAGGAGATATTTTTCTGGAATTCTCTTGCTTTATCTGTGATTCAGCAGATCTTGGCAATTTGATCTCTGGTTCCTCTGCTTTTTCTAAATCCAGCTTGTACATCTGGAAGTTCTTGGTTCACTTACTGTTGAAGCCTAGCTTGAAGGATCTTGAGCATTATTTCGCTAGCATGTGAAATGGGTGCAGTTGTGTGGTAGTCTGAACATTCTTTGGCATTGCCCTTCTTTGGAATTGAAATGAAAACTGACCTTTTCCAGTTCTGTGTCCACTGCTGAGTTTTCCAAATTTGCTGCCAGTTTGAGTGCAGCACTTATAACAGCATCATCTTGAAGGATTTTAAATAGCTCAGCTGGAATTCCATCATCTCCACTAGCTTTGTTTGTAGTAAAGCCTCCTAAAGCCCACTTGACTTCACTCTCCAAGATGTCTGGCTCTAGGTTAGTGACCACACCATCATGGTTATCCGAGTCATTAAGACTTTTTTTTTTTTTTTGTACAGTTTTTCTGGAGTAGGAAATGGCAACCCACTCCAGTATTCTTGCCTGGAAAATTCCAAGGACTGAGGAGCCCGGCAGGCTACAGACCACGGGGTCCCCAAGTGTTGGACAGGACTGAGCAGACATGCATGCAGTAATATTTATCATAGGAAAATGTAGTGTATGTACCTGATTTTGGATCTTAAATGCTTTTAGCACTGAAGACCACTCATAATTTCATCTAAAGCTACTTGAAAGCCAAGTGATCAAAACTTACATCAGACTGTCTTGAGCATGATTCTTATTACATAAATATCAAACTGTTCAGTTCTACGGATGGTTCAAAGGAAAAGAGAAAGTTATTAGTTAGAACTCAAGGACAATTAAGACATTTAGAGAGCAGTGTCCAATCAGAATCACTCTCCTTTTTATTTATTTTTTAAAAAGCTTTATTTTATATTGGAGTATAGTTGATTAACAGTGTTGTGATAGTTTCAAGAGTACAGCAAAGTGATTCATTTATTCACGTATATCTATTCTTTTTCAAATTCTTTTCCCATTTAGTTTGAGCAGAGTTCCTTGTTATCTATTGACAAGTCTCCTTTTTAAAATCAAGCTGATGAAATCCAGGGAAATTTGTTTAATCTAAAACATGTATTGATTTTTAAAAATTGATTATAAAAGGTCTTCATATTCATTTTAGAGTTGACCCACTGCCTGCCCTCCAGTAGACCATGGCACAGCAGTACCACCCCTCCGTACCTCTGTCAGCCTCTCCCGTATTTGCTGCTGTTCTGTGTTGATGTCCCTGGAAAATTCAGAAAATTCAGAAAAGCACATAAAAGAACAGTGATATGGATGAATCTCACAAACAATGATGAATGAAGGAAGTAAAGAGTTCCTCCTATATGATTTAGTTTATGTGATGTTCCCAAACAGGCAAATCTAACATTTGCTGTTAGACTCAGGGTCGTGGCTACTCTTGGTGGAGGTTTCTGATCAGAAGTGGGAATGCTGCTGGGCATGGCAGTAGAATGTCCACAAGGCTCACTGTCCTTACTGAGATTCAGCCGTTTTTCTTGAATAAATCCTCCTTGGATTGTTGCAGGTCATTTGGTTAATTTACAGAGATCTGAAAAAGCTGAATTTGACCATTTCTGGAGGAGTGGATTTTCAGTCTTGTACTTCATTCCCACAGGTGGCACTCCAAGTGTTTGTTTTACCCTTGTAGTATGTCCCAGTCAGCTTGGGCTGCCATAACAAAACGTCATAGACTGAGAGGCTTAAACAGCAGACACTTATTTTTGCACAGTTCTGGAGGCTGGAAGTCCCTGATCGGGGTGCCAGAAGGGCTAGGTTCCGGTGAGGGCTCTCATCCGCTTTGCAGACCTTGTCCCTGTGTCCTCACTGTGTTCCTCAGCACCTGTACAGAGCGCCACGGCTCATCTCACTTCTTCTAAATCCACCAGTCCTATCAACTAAGACCCTACCCTTAAGATCTCATTTAACCTTCATTAATTCCTAAAAGTCCTGTCTCCCAAGTACAGTCACATTGAGGGCTAGGGCTTCAGTATATGAATTTGGAGAGGATATAGTTCACATACCTCCTGGTACTAGCAACATTGACTTGGGGGGGTGGGCAAAAGACATAGGGCCACCAGATAATTGTGTTCAATAAGACAGTCCAGTAGCTGTATTTGAAGCTCACCGCTAACGAGTGAAAGACTTGTGCATTTATAAAATTATTTTTTATTTATTTTGGCTCCATGGGGCCTTAGTTACAGCACGTGGGATCCTCTGCAGTGGCACGTGGGCCACTCCCGAGTGTGGCGCACAGACTGGAGTGCACAGGCTCAGTAGGTGCAGGTGGTCGGGCCCAGCTGCCCCACGGCGTGTGCAGTCTTAATTCCCTGACAAGGATTCAACCCATGTGCCCTGCATTGCAAGGCAGATTCTTAACCACTGGGGAAGTCCCTGCATTTTTAGTATGATAATCATTTATTATAATTGCTATCATTATTTTTGTGGTGATGAAGAAGATTCTTTGATGCTCTTTATGTATATGATATTTATTTTCTGGCCATGCTGTCCAGCTTTCGGGATTTTGGTTCCCCCATCAGGGACTGAACATGTGCCCTTGGCAGCAAAAGCTTGGAGTCCTAACCACAGGATTTCCACGAATACTGTGAAGCTTTTTAAATGCTGTGGTTCAAAGACACTAATTAGTTAGTGTGTGACTTGGAGGTAATACTCATTTGGATTTTAGTTAGCTATGAGATGTTCCTTGCTCAACTAGCCAGGAAGTAACTACACACATTTTTGAGACCAGTGACTGGAGGGTGGCTCAGTGTGTAGCTTGTGATATAAAAGGTAGCATCTTAAAGGTCTTTAAGTTTATCAAGCTTTAGACTCTGGGGAAAAACTGGTACAGATTTTTAAACCTTGAATTTTATTTTAAATTGTTTTTAAAAATGAGTATAAATGAGTATAGAACCTTCAAACTAAAACCAATGATATTCTTCCAGCTCTACTAGTCTCAGTGGGTATAAATATTAGGAATCTTGCTTTTCACAGTATGATTTTAAGTGGAAATTTCAAGAAAAAAATTGTAGTTGGTTGGAAAATATTTACAATCAAACACAATCAGTGCTATTTTTCCTGTTTCTTAGATTTCTGCTCCTAATGAATTTGATGTTATGTTCAAACTGGAGGTTCCCCGAATTCAGCTGGAAGAATATTGCAACAGTAGTGCTCATTGCTTTGTGAAATTCAAAAGAAATCCCAAAGGAAGTCCTCTGGATCAGTTCTTAGAAGGGGGAATCTTATCGGCTTCTAAGATGCTGTCCAGGTTTAGGAAAATCATTAATGAAGAAATTAAAAATATTGAAGGTAAGATCTTTGACTTTTGATTCTTTAAGGTCTAATCATACCTATTAATTTCCTCTCCTGATCTTTTTTGATTTCCCTGCAGCAGACTGTTGACTGCATGCATACCAAGTCATTTCAGTCGTGTCTGACTCTTTGAGACCCTACGGAAACTGTAGCCCACCAGGCTCCTCTGTCCATGGGATTCTTCAGGCAAGAATACTGGAGTAGGTTGCCATGACCTCCTCCAGGGGATCTTCCTGACCCAGGGATTGACCCCGTGTCTCTTATGTCTCCTGCATTGGCAGGCGGGTTCTTCACCACTAGCACCACCTGGGAAGCCCAGACTACCTTCTAGAAACAAGCTTTTGCTCTTAATTTTAGTCTACTACATTTTCTTGGTATTCATACTAAATGTTGATTGACTCTATTTTGTTTTTGTTTCTTTCAGCCACACCATGTGGCCCTGTAGGATCTTAGTTCCCTGATCAGGGATTGAACCTGGACTCCTGGTGGTGAAAGCACAGAGTCTTAGCCACTGAACCACCAGAGACTTTCCAGTTGGCTCTATTTTGATCTTCACTGAATATTTGCTGAGATGCTGCCTGTACCCTTGGGTGTAGGTGGTTGAATAAAATCAATGGGACTCCCCTCCTGAACTTGTAAAAACAAATACAGTGTGTGCTTTGAAGGGAATGAAGTGGGAGATGTGGTAGCAGCTGGGATAGAGTGGGTGGTGGAGTAAAGCCCTGCAGCAGAAAAGAGCTTGATAAGCTCAAGGAACAAAAAGAGGGCCATGTGGACAAGGGAAAGAGTAACATGAAGTAAAAGTGGCTAGGGGCCAGATTCTAGGAGGACTTGTAGATCCTGGAAAGGAGTTCAGATTTCATGCCATGTTCCATTGAGAATCCAGGTCTTAAGTAGAGGGTAATGATTGATTCCCTTGTGGCTCAGCTGGTAAAGAATCTGCCTGCAATGCGGGAGACCTGGGTTGGGAAGATCCCCTGGAGAAGGGAAACGCTACCCACTTCAGTATTCTGGCCTAGAGAATTGCATGGACTGCATAGTACATGGGGTCACAAAGAGTCGGACATGACTGAGTGACTTTCATTCATTAATGATTGATTGACTTCATACTTTAAAAAATTTGCTCTGACTTCTGCGGAGAAGATAGTTTAAGAAGGCAGTTGAGAGTTTGGCTTTGGATATAAGTTAGAGAATCCTATGGTGAAAAAGTACAGTAAAGTGAGAGGGTTCAGGCATGCTGGGGGATGGCCTGGGGGGAAGTTGCAGTATTAAGCAGAGTGGTAAGAAGAGGATCTCATTAGGGGCTGGAGAGAGGAGAGGGAGCAAAAGGAGACTCTGAGTGTTCTGCAGGAGTGCTCGGTGTTTACAGTGCACTAACATCCAGATCATGTTTGGACTTGGTCTTCAGTTTGTTTTGTGGGGGTTGGTAAGTTTGACTCAGAAGTTTCAGTGGAGTCCTCAGCACATGAGAGAGAAGGGCCGGGATGCTGTGGAGACAGCATTATGGTAAATCTTTAGAAAGTGTTGGCTGCAAAGGAAGTAGATAGATGGGTAAGTGGGGAGGCAGCATAGATGCAGAGTCAACGGAGCGTGTCCTTTAGGATGAGAGACACTGGATCCCTTTGTGTGAAGACAGGAATGATCAGGTAGGAGGGGAGGCTGCTGATGCAGGAGGGAGCGATGAAGGAGTGAGGTAAGAAGGAAGGGATCCAGAGATCATGTGCGGAGGGGCCTCTGAAAGATGGCTGGACGCTCCTAGGTGGTAATAGGACTAAAGGAGAAGTAATGGGTAAGAAGAGGGTGAGTTTCTGGATTTAGTGACAAAGAAAATGAGGGTATGCTCTGGGATTTTCTCCTTGGAGATATGTCCTCTCTCCCATTGTGGTCCTTTCCGAAAGTCTTAATCTGGGAGAGGTCTTTCACTTCTGCTTGTACACGCTGCCCCCAAAGCCAGTATCTCTCCTCTAGAAGCCTTTCCCATATTTCTGGCCAGTGGCCATCTCCAGTTGGGTGTCCCACATGCACCTAGAACTCAGTGTAGATGAAATGAAGTTTATCTCAGTCTGGTCTGTCTTCCTTCTGCCAACCCTGTGTTGAACAGTAGACTCAGCACCAACCATTTCCCATTTCCCAGGTCATGGGATGGCCTCCCCAACTCCTGCCTTCTCCCTTACCTCCCAGATTCAGTCTTATCTACCAGTTCTGCTAATTTAAACCTCTTTCATTGCTTTCACTTCCGCTACTTGGGGTTTTTTTTAAAATAAAAATTGTCCATAATCAAGGTGTATAGCGTGATGTTTTGATACACATAGTGAACTGGTTAGCACAGTCAAGCTAATTAGCATCTTCTCACAGAGTTGCCTTTTTTGTGTGTGAAGTGAGAGTATCTGAAATCTACTCTCTTGGCACATTGTCCGTAACAGTACAGTTGTATTACTAGTCATCATGCTGTATGTTGGATCTCTAGACTTACTCGCCCTACGTAACTGCAGCTGTACTCTTTGATGAACATCTTCCCATTTCCCCCTCCTGCCCACCACCGGTAACCACTGTCCCACAGTCTGCTGCTATGTATTTGACGTCTTTAGATTCCTTGCATAAATGAGGTCATGCATTTTGCTTAGCACAGTGACTCCCACTGCTGACGGGACCTCCGCGGGAGGGACTCAGACACAGCTTTGCCTCAGTCTGGGTGGGGCCTCTGGGTCCTGGTGCACACAGGGTTTGTTTGAGCCCTCCGAGTGTCTCTGGCAGGCATGGGGTTTGATTCTAAATGTGATTTTGTCCCTCCTGCTGTCTTGCTGGGGCTTCTCCCCTGTCCTCGGATGTGGGGTATCTCCTCAAAGACACTCCAGCGCCACTCAGCCACCACATTGGGAGCGAGGCATCTTAGCTACTGGACCTCCAGGGCTGTCCCCGAGGGTCTTCTGAGTGGCACACATATTCCCTGAGATGGAGGGGTCATGCCCAAACCTGGAAAACAAGACAGGGCTGAGTGACAGCTGAGTTACCTGCTCCCACAAGCAGGGTTCTGATGGAGGCATGGCACACACTGACACATGAGAAGTGCTCAGATGGCCTGCCCAGGACGCTGAGACTGGATAGGAAGGGGGGTTCCTGTCTCTTGCCCCGCTCTGCCCCTTTCTTGGGAGGGGACCCCAGCAAGGCTGGTGGAGCTCTGTCCCTGGGCTCTAGCTCCCTCTCCCTCTGTGTCACTGGCTGGGCAAGGGTCCATCTTCCCCAAAGGTCTCCTTGTATCTGGTTTACTCTGCTCCCTCTTCCTTTCTTTCCTTTCACACTTTCTTCATCATAATCCCTTTAAGCCCCTGAGGCCTCAAGCCTAGACCTTCTCAGCCTCTCTTAAATGTTCAGGATGGATTTAGTAAAGGCAGAGGAACCAGAGATCAAATTGCCAACATCTGCTGGATCATCAAAAAAGCAAGAGTTCCAGAAAAACACCTTCATTGACTATGCCAAAGCCTTTCACTGTGTGGATCACAACAAACTGTGGAGAATTCTTCAAGAGATGGGAATACCAAACCACCTGACCTGCTTCCTGAGAAATCTATGCAGGTCAAGAAGCAACAGTTAGAACTGGACATAGAACAACAGACTGGTTCTGAATTGGGAAAGGAGTAAGTCAAGGCTGTATATTGTCACCCTGCTTATTTAACTTATATGCAGAGTACATCATGAGAAATGCTGGACTGGATAAAGCACAAGCTGGAATCAAGATTGCTGGGAGAAATATCAATAACCTCAGATATGCAAATGACATCACACTTATGGCACCTTCTTGATGAAGGTGAAAAAGGAGAGTGAAAAAGTTGGCTTAAAACTCAACATTCAGAAAACTTGAGATCATGGCATCTGGTCCCATCACTTCATGGCAAATAGATGGGGAAACAGTGGAAACAGTGACAGACTTTATTTTTGGGGTCTCCAAAATCACTGCAGATAGTGACTGCCACCATGAAATTAAAAGACGCTCGCTCCTTGGAAGAAAAGCTATGATAAACCTAGACAGCATATTAAAAAGCAGAGACATTACTTTGCCAACAAAGGTCCATCTGGTCAAAGCTATGGTTTTTCCAGTAGTCATGTATGGATGTGAGAGTTGGACTATAAAGAAAGCAGAGCATTGAAGAATTGATGCTTTTGAACTATGGTATTGGAGAAGACTTTTGAGAGCCCCTTGGACGGCAAGGAGATCCAACCAGACCATCCTAAAGGAAATCAGTCCTGATTGGAAGGACTGATACTGAAGCTGAATACTTTGGCCACCTAATGCAAAGAACTGAGTCATTTGAAAAGACCCTGGTGCTGGGAAAGATTGAAGGCGGGAGAAGGGGACGACAGAGGATGAGATGGTTGGATGGCATCATTTACTCCATGGACATGAGTTTGAGGAAGCTCCAGGAGTTGGTGATGGACAGGGAGGCCTGCGTGCTGCAGTCCATGAGGTCACAAAGAGTTGGACAAGACTGAGCAACTGAACTGAATTGAATGTCTTCCACATTCATCCACATTGTTACAAATGGCAGGATTTTCTTCCTTGTTAAGGCTGAATAATATTCCATTGTCTGTATATGCCACAGTCTCTTTACTTATTCATATGTCAGTGGATTGTCTCCATATCTTGGCTGTTGTGAATAACGCTACAGTGAATGACAGTTGCTCCCTGTGTCTTAATGGTCACTGTCTCTCTGTACGACAGGCATCTGTCCTCTGAGTTAGTTTGTTGCTGCGGTCTTTTTCTTTTTTTTAATTTGGCTGTACTACATGGCTTGTAGGATCTTAGTTCCCAGACCAAGGTTTGAACTCCCAACCTTGGCAGCAGTAGTTCAGAGTCCTAACCACTGGACTGCTAGGGACTTCCTGCTGAGGTCTTCTTAATCACGTCTCTTCTCCGTGCTGCTCATCCGGCCTCATATGCAGGCGTCCCTCCAGCTGCCAAACACAAATTGAAATGAAAATTTAATCACAGAACTCCCAGATCCCACATACCCCCACCGCATGAGGGGTATCAATAAATACTGGTTAAATGAGTAAAACACTGCCTTGTGGGGTCATTTTCTTCTTTAGAACTAATTTTTGTCTTACAGTTAGTATTTACAGATCTCCAATTATAGTTATTTTTCCTGTGTTGTCAGAGAAAAATGGATTGATAAGCCCTGTCTTCCTTATTATATCTTTAAACAGATACTGATGTCATTATGCAGAGGAAGAAAAGAGGGAGCCCTGCAGTAACACTCCTGATTAGAAAACCTAGAGAAATATCTGTGGATGTAATCCTGGCCTTGGAGTCAAGAAGCAGCTGGCCCGCTAGCACCCAGAAAGGCCTGCCCATCAATAACTGGCTTGGAGGAAAAGTTAAGAGCAATCTAAAACGCCAGCCATTTTACCTGGTACCCAAGCTTGCAAAGGAAGGAAGTCGTTTCCAAGGTATCTTGATTATGAAGCTTTATGTAAAGACATCCATAGATAAGAGAATCATTAACGCTACATCCTAGGGCAGTGAAAGATCTACTGGTGCTGTTGGCGTTTCAAGAACCATTGGCTAAGACGGGAGTTTGGTGAGAGATGGAATTACAAAGGGCATAATATTAATAGTAATATTGAATACTCAGCTTTAAAATGTTTACTAGCCCGCATTTGAATGTTGTTTTTGTTTGTTTCTTGCTAGTAAAGAAAAGCAGTACTGGCCCTGCAATCTGACTGCCTTAGATTTGAATCCTGAGGCTTCTTCCCTCATTAGGTGTGTGATCTGGAGCTGGTCATCAAGCCCCTCTAAACCTGTTTTAGTCATCTGCATATGTGGGGTAGTCAAAACGACTTGAAAGATTCTAGGAAGATAAAAATGATGCAGTGCTACTTGCAGAATCCCTAGTTGAGTTAATGGCAGCTGTGTATTACTGATGTCACCAGAGCCTTGGCTGTCACTCTGCCCTTGTTTCTGTCTTTCCTCACCTCCTTCCACTGCGCCCCATGCCCCTGGCAGAGCTTTCTTGCAGCCTCAGCTGCAGGTCTGCCCACTGATTGGGTCTCCTCACCCGTGTACCCTGGCCTTCTGGGTCAGGACAGGTTTTCAGGTGTTGCTCTTGGGTAACATTCAAGTTGTGAAGACTGGGCTGAGATAGTCTACAGGTGGAACTGAATAATGGTGATATCTTCTGAGGTAGAAAAAAAATTCACCGATTATTTTCTTTTTCTCTCATAAATTATGTAAGGACTTTTGGCACCTACTACTGCTGGACTCCAAAGAAATTGGAGGAGATCAGATAACAAATGAACCCAAGTTATAAATGAGTATTGTTGAACATATCTGAGAAATTGTCCATCATGCTTAGTTTGATGGCTTGTTTTGTGGACACACATCATAACTTTAGATTGCATATATATAGGAGTCATTTTCTGTAAGAAAAGTTGTTTTTAAGAAGGAATTATATGCATCATTATGATTTTATAAAAGGAATATAACTTTTCTGGAGAAGGGTGTACAGTTTGTAGAAGGGCTGTCCCAAGAAACCCTCACTGCATGTGATACAGAAATCTCACCAGGACCCATACTGCTCTTTTTGTGGCCCTTGGCCAACTACCTTGGGGATGACTGGGAGAACCATCAGCCTAGAGATGAGGAAGCATCCTTCAGTGGCCATGGGGCTATACAAAGGCCAGTGTGGTTGGATAGTTCCTCATATAAGTTCCTAAGATAAAAGTGGAGGCTGCCAGGCACTCAGCTGACCTCTGCTCTGGTACCCTTGGCTGGTCTCCATCTCTCCTCATTTCAGATTATTCATATTTAGGCAAAACCCTGTGGCTATGTCTGTGTGTATGTGTATATCTGAGGGGCTAAGAGGGGCAATGAAAATAACTTGTACTATCAATAGATAGGCATGTATTACACCTATTTTAGCTTTTTCCTTTTCAAATGTCTTATTAAAAATCTCCTGGTCACAAGGTATATTTTAAAAAATATACTTTGATTTTTGATAAAAAATTTCAATATGTTTTTTGAATCAAAATAAATATGATTTTGATACTATCAAAAAATGAAAAAAAATTGATGTTATCAAAATAATAATACAGGTGGTGTCACCAAGAGTATAATTATTTTTTAAAAGTATAAACTTTATTTGCAGTTCTTTTTGTTCTTAAGATAGAAAGACAGTCAAAATAGTAAGTTTTTTTTTGACCTTAAGACTTGAAACATATAGTTTTTATTATACTAAAATGTACAAACATTAAAATAAAAATTCCTTCAAACTGGTAATCATCCATAGTTGACTTTATCTAACAAAAGAGATTGAATATCAACTAAGTACAAGTATCGTTACATATAAAATAAAATTAGAAGATATTTTCTTTGCATTAAAGACCATTTCAGAATGATACTTAGTAAGCAGGGCAAGGACTATACATTCCATCACATTTATCAGTACCTCATGTCAAGGCATGCATGTGATGAATGCTAAAATAGAAAAAAACCAGTGAAACTGCAGTGTTCTCAAATATCTAAATTGTCTGCCCTGCATTTTAAATTCATTTGAAATTTATTCATCAATTTCAGTTCTGATATTCCAATCAATGAACGTGAAAAGCTTTATTTAAAAAGAATAATCCATACACTGTTGATAGAAGTGTTAAATGGTGCAATCACTTTGAGAAACAGTCTGGCAGTTTCTTATAAAGTAAAACATATGTCTTCCCTAATCCAACATGAAGTACATAACACATTTATACAAGAATATACGTAATAGCCAAAATCTGCAAATAGCCCAGAAGTCCATCAAAAGATAATAGATATAGAAACTGTGGTATATTTATAAACTAGAATACTACTCAGCAACAAAAATCAATGAACTACTGATCAAAGAGGATCTTAAAAACATTAAGACAGGTGAAAGAAAACAGAAACAAAGGGTCCATACTGTATAATCTCAAGTTATACTAAGTTTAAGAACAGGCAAAATTTATCTACGGTTTTTAATTAGAACATTGGTTGCCTGAGGTGACTGAGGATTGATTAGGCAGGGGCACAAGAGAACTTTCTGGAGTGATGATAACTTTTTAACTCCAGATACAGCTTAAATTACTCAGGTGTAGTCATTTGTCAAAACTCATCAAATGCAACATTGAAGATTTGTGTGTTTCACTGTTTGCAAATCTTACCTTAAGTATCAAACACACACAAATGAATACTGAACTCTGTAATACTCATGCTGAAATGTTTATGGGTGAAGTATTCTAACTAATTCCACAACTTGTTTTGAAACCACATTTTTCTCGGGCGTCCCTGGTAGTGCAGTGGTTAAGAATCCACCTGCCTGTGCAGGGGTCATGGGTTTGATCCCTGGTCCGACAAGATCCCACATGCTTGCAGGGCAGCTAAGCCCGGGCACCACAACTCCTGAGTCTTAAGCTCTGAGACCCGGAGCAGCAACTACTGAGCTCATATTCTGCAGCCACTGATGCTTGGTGGGTTAAGCTAACCAACTCAGCATGCTTAAAATTCATTTTCATCATTGTTTCTAACTTTAGTTATTGGATTTTAAATGTTGATTTAGTTTTATTTTTTAAATTTATGAAGCATTCATATGGTCCCAAAGTCAAAGCTACAGAGAAAAGTATTCTTAGGGAAACACAGCTTCTTCCCTTTATGTTTTCTCTACCCTCTTCTCTTCTTTCCTGATTGGAAATCCATTAATTGTTTTGGGTTTACCTTTCATTTTTAAAAGGTACAAGTATTTTGTGTGTATATATATGCATATATATAATTTTTTTATATGCAACCCCCTTTTTAAGATAATGAGTACAATTTTTCTATTTTTACTTAAGATTATCTTGGCTATCACTCCATAGCTCTGTATAGAGATAGCACTCATTCCTTGTTTTTTTTAAATACTTCCATGTATTTATTTTCTTTTGGCTGTGCTGGGTCTTCATTGCTCCTTTGCCTTTTCTCTAGCTGTGGTGCGCAGACTTTTCATTGCGGCAGCTTCTCTTGTGGGGCATGGGCTTCCGTGGTCGCGGCCACAGTTGTGGCTCCCCGGCTCTAGGGCACAGGCTGTATAGCTATGGTGCACAGGCTTCGTTTCTCCATGGCCTGTGAGATCTTCCCAGATGAGGGACCGAACCTGTGTCTCCTGCCGATCCTCCGTTGCCAGGCTGATTCTTTATCACTGAGCCACCAGGGAAGCCCAGCACTCATTCCTTTTTTTAACAAAAATTTTAACAACATTTTTATACTCTTTTTAAAGGTTACTTTCTATTTAGAATTACTACAAAATATTATCTATGTATTTCCTGTGTTGTATGACGATACATCCTTGTAGTCTTATCTCATGCCCAGGAGTTTGTCCTTCCCACTTCCCCACCTCTGTAGTGTCCCTTCCACTGGTAACCACTCGTTTGTTCTCTTATATCTGTGAATCTCCTTATTCTTTGTTATATTCACTAGTTTATTTTTTTAGATTCCATGTATAAATCATGTCATATAGTGTTTTTGTCTTTCTCTGTCTTATTTCATTTAGCATGATGCCCTTCAAGTCTATCCATGTTGCTGCAGATGGCAAAATTTCATTCTTTTTTTTTAATGACTGAGTAGTATTCCACTGTATATATACCACAGCTGCTTTATCCATTCATCTGTTGATGGACACTTAGGTTACTTTCATATCTTGGCAATTGTGAATGATGTGGCTGTGAACATTGAGGTGTGTGTACCTTTTCAAATTAGTGGGGTTTTTTTGAGCACCCATTCCTTTTTACAGTCTATTTTTGCAGTTTGTCAAGGAATAGTAAATCCATATCTAATTTTGCTCATATTGCCAAAGTCACCTCTATACAGAATTTCCCAATTTGCATTCCCAACAGCTGTGTGTATGAGAGTGCCCATTTCACCCTCAACTTCATCAACAGAACTCATTAAATTTTGGAATGTTTGCCAATAACTCAAAAAGGGAGAAATGATACCTCAATGTAGTTATTTAAAATAAACTTTAAATTTTAGAATAGTTTTAAGATTTGCCAAAACAAGTACAAAGATAGTATAGAGAGTTCCTATATACCACGTAACCAATTTTCCATTTTAGCATCTTACATTAATATGATGCATCTGTCACATTTAGTGAACCGATATGAATGTGGTCCTGTTACTCAGACTTCCTTAGTTTTTGCCTGACGTCCTCCTCCTGTTCCAGGAGCCCATGTGGGATGCTACGTTCCACGCAGTCATCATGTCTCCTCACTCTCCTCTCGACTGTGACCGCGCCTCAGTCCTTCCTTGTTGTTGGTGACCCTCACAGTTTTGAAGAGTACCAGTCAGATGCTTTGTGTTACAGCCCTCATTTGGCGTGTGGCTCATGTTTTTCTTGTGATTAGATTGCAGTTCTGGGTTTGGGGGAGGAGGACTGCAGAAATGAAGTGCCGTTCTCATAACATTGCGTCAGCGGTTCATCGTGGGCCTGACTTGGCTCTGCTGGTGTGGACCTTAGTCTCCTGGCTCAGGGAGTGTTTTTCAGGTTTCCTCCCTGTTAAGATCTTCTCTTTCCCCCTTTTCGTACTGTGCGTTTTGGAAGGAAGTCACTGTGCACAGCTCACACTTAAGCTCACCTCTTTAAGAGCAGAGTGTTTACACAAATTATTCAGAATTCTTCTGCATGGGAGGTTTATCTCTTCTCTCTAATTTATTTACTTAAATCATATCTGTATGGACTCACGGATATTTGTCTCGTATTTTGGGCTATAATTCAATACTGCTTTCATTTTGTTGCCTAAATTGTTCTAGCTTTGGTCTTCAGGAGCTCTTGCAGTTGGCTCCTGTATCCTTTTGACATATGTCCCGTAATTGTGGGTTTTTTTTATTTTCAGCACTAACTCACTTTCTGGCACTACAGGATGCTCCAGGCTCATCTTGTGTAGTTCCTGTTTCAGTCCTAGAATCAGCCATTTCTCCAAGGAACTCTCTGGATCCTTTTATTGGAGAGTGTGTCCTAGAACCATGATCTGTTTGCTGTGTGTGTTCTGCTGCTAGGGTATCATCCCTTTCAGCTGGAGGAGCAAGGAAATATGTGTATGTACACTATCCCCAGGATATGCACAGCTCACCACCTGTATCTGTATCAAGTGGTACATGAGTTCATACTGATGTCTCTAACTGGAATCCATTGCCACATGGATCATCCTACCTTCCCTCTTTGCTATCTGTAACCTTTCATTCCAACAGTGAGAAGCTTGGCTCCTGCCATCTGCCATCCGCCTGGTCCATCGTTCCTTGCTCAGTTCTAGCCCACATGTATGGACGCTTCAGAATTGCAAACCCACTCCCCTGCGTGCACAGTGCACATGTACAGTTCCTTTAGCCTTCAGTCTTAAAGACCGCGTTTCCAAAGTAACTCCGGTCAGCACCTTTTGCCCCCACCCCCTTCAGGGAGGTTGTGTCATATGTTTGTGATACAGTTAGAGCCGCATTTCACAGTCTGCAATCCTTCCTGAGATCCTTTGACCATCTAAATGACTTTTTAACAGTTTGTGTACGTTAAGGTTCCCATGCCATGAAGTCCTCCTATTGGTTTTGACAAATGGATTGCATCGTTATCTGTAATTAAATAATAGTTTCACTTCCCTAAAAAGTCCCTCTACTTACTCCACCTTCCCCATCCCAAATCTCTTGAGCCACTGACCTGTTTACCATCTCTGCAGAGTTTGCCTTTTCCAGAATGGCATGAATGGATTGTTGTAAATGGATTTATATAGCAGCAGTGAGCACAACTCTCTCTATGCCACCTTTTCCATATATTTATTATCTGTATATTGTGTACCTATTATATGCTTTATCCCCCCAAAATCTCTGTCTGTCCATGGGCTATATACCATTATGTCATACATAATGTCACTAGTCTCGATATTTGCTTTCCCACTCTGTCCTTCTTCAACAGTGTTTTAGATATTCTTGACCCTTTGTTATTTTTATAAAGATGTTGGTATTGTCAAGTTCCACAAACACTTCTTTTTGGAGTTTTGATTGTGAGAGCATTGAATCTGCAGACGAATGTGGGGAGATGTGACCTGTTTATGATAGTGCGTCTTTAATTCATGTGCAGGCGCACATCTCTCTATCTGGATTGCCTCTAATACTTTTCAGTGAAGTTTTAGAATTGTCTCCACAGAAATTTTGTGTATCTTTTATCAGATTTACTCATATGCACTTGTAACATTATGAAAAACTAAAACAACAGAAAAGTAGACTGAAGAATATATGGAACTCATGCATACCTGTCATTCTGTTTCTTTTGTATTTTCTGTATACATGATTACATCATCAGTAATGATGGCTTTGTTTTTCTCTTTCCAGTGCTATCACCCTATCTTTCCTTCTCTTACTGTGCTTGCTACGATAGCCATTGCACGTCAAACAATGAGGATAGCAGCCTGCCTTCCTGTTTTCAAAGAAAAAACTTCAACTTTATAATGTTAGATTATCATATTGCTATCATCAGATCAAGGTTCCATCTGCATTTAAATTACTGAAAGGTGTTTTCTTTTAACGATGAATGAATGTTAAATTTTATTGACTGCATTTTCTGCTTCTGTTGAGTTGGTCATATGTTTCTCCCCTGTTCTGTTAATGTGACAGGTTGTGTTGCTTGATTTTTAAAATGAAAAACCAATTCCTGGTATTAAAACTCAACAGTGGTAGGATGGGTCAGAGCTATCCATGGTAAAACTTGGGGAGATGGGGGAAAATCATTCTATTCTTACATAAACTTCCAAAAACAGAAAAAAAGGAAACGTTCCCTGATTCATTTTGCATAAATACTGAAACTTTGCAAGGATAGTATAAAAGAATAAACAAAAAATTTCAAACAATGCAAATTATTATAGAGACAAAACATCAGCAAACAGAATTTAGCAACACATAAAAAGCAATAGGACTTATAGCTCACTATATTAAGCTCTGACTTCTTCCTCTAATTGTTCTCTATCTTGGTCCATTGTTTGCTTGGTCAAGTCACTTGTTTTAATATGTAATCACATTATTTATCCGTTCACTTCTTTTGGTCTATCTCCCCCTAGAAAATTTTTCAGAATTATATTTTAATGAAGAAAATCACTTAAATATTTGTTGTTTGTAAACAGATGTTTTTGGTAAAGTGCTTTTCTGTTTTTCTTTTGGATATTAAGAAGAAACATGGCGGCTGTCCTTCTCTCACATTGAAAAGGCCATTTTGAAAAATCACGGACAATCTAAAACATGCTGTGAAATTGATGGAGTAAAATGTTGCAGGTAACCTCCTTATTTTGTAAATGACAGACATACCAATAGAATGCTTTGTTCTTTGCTGACTCCACAGTTGAAACCTGAAGATGACCATTGCTGGGTTGAGTTCTGGGGGCAGTGCATGGCTGGATTGAGCGGGGGTATTGGAGTGTAAGCATGAAACCAAGGACGCCAGGTCCAGGGACTAAGGAAAGAGTGTTGTTAGAAGGCACTGCTGAGACCTCCCTGGTGGTCCAGTGGGCTAGGCCTCAGCTTCCAGTGCAGAGGATGTGGGTTTGATCCTGGTCGGGAAGCTAAGATCCCACGTGCCTTGAGGCACAAAAACTAAAACATAAAACAGAAGCAGCATTGTAATAAATTTGATAAAGACTTTTAAAATGGTCCACATTAAAAAAAATTTTTTTAAAAAAGGGACTGCTGGGGAGCATGGACCTGAGCCTCGATGCTGTGGAAGTCTGAGAGGAGGAAAGAGTGGAGGGTGTGAATACTAGTCATGACTAGCCATGACAATTGGATTTGCCTTAGTGTTCTGGTTGGTTCAAGGCAATGAATAACAATGTTGCATAATGGGAAGAGACCAAAGGACCACTCTTATTGGATGCTGGTGCTTGCTTTGAGATGGTTTAGCTATGAGGAAGGCCAGGGAATGACAAACCAAATTTGAAACAACACTAAGATGTGGGTAATTATTTTTCTTGATTAGCATACATACCATAAAGAACTGAGTTTTGAAAAGAATCATTCATTTCAGTTTCTAAAGTTGGGTTTTCCTGATAGCTCAGTTGGTAAAGAATCTGCTTGCAATGCAGGAGACCCCAGTTTGATTCCTGGGTTGGGAAGATCCGCTGGAGAAGGGACAGGCTACCCACTCTGGTATTCTTGGGCTTCCCTTGTGGATCAGCTGGTAAAGAATCTGCCTGCAATGCGGGAGACCTGGGTTCGATCCCTGGGTTGGGAAGATCCCCAAGGGCAGGGAAAGGCTACCCACTCCAGTATTCTGGCCTAGAGAATTCCATGGACTGAATATAGTCCATGGAGTTGCAAAGAGTTGGACGCGACTGTCATTTTCATTTTCAAAGCTGAATAGAATAAGGATCACAAGAGTTAAAAGGTTAAAGCAAGGATGCCCAAAGTGTGAGCACAAGGGGGTTCTTTAAGGCTTCACATGCAGGCTTTGAAGTAACCATTAAGAAAAGTATATTGTTGATAAGGCTTAATAATTTTATAAACATTAAATTTTGTCAGCTACCAAAATAACTGAATGATTAATGTAAATCAAAATAAGACAATGATTTTATAAAAATTGAAACAAGATTTTTCTAAATACTCAACTGGATGAATAATGTAAATATCTGCTAGTTTTCATGTAGTTGAATTAATCCTAATAGAATAAAATACTTAAGCTAGGAATGGGGAGGAGGGAAGGAGAAAATATGTTTTTGAAACTTTTAAAGTATGTATTTGAAAAAATAATTAGGTTTTAGAATGACTCTAATTAATTATTTATACATATCTTTGGGCTTCCCTAGTAGCTCAGCAGTAAAGAATCCACTTGCAATGCAGGAGATGTGGGTTCAATCCCTGGGTTGGGATGATCCGCTGGAGGAGGGCATGGCAACCCACTCCAGTATTCTTGCCTGGAGAATCCCATGGACAGAGGAGCCTAGTGGGCTACAGTAAATAGGGTCAGAAAGAGTCCTACAGGACTGAAGTGACTGAGCACGCACGCACACATACATACCTTTATTGTTTTTTGTGTCTTTATAAAAAATGTATTATATATCTGTATTGTTCATTACATCTTTGTATGTTTTTCCTGTAAGATGCCTAAAGTTCTTTGTGGAATGAAAAAGGTAAAGAAATAAAAATAAATGCTTCTCTTTTCTATTCAACAGGAAAGAGTGTTTAAAGCTGATGAAATACCTTTTAGAACAACTGAAAAAAAAGTTTGGAGACCAAAGGGGACTGGATAAGTTTTGTTCTTACCACGTGAAGACTGCCTTCTTCCACGTCTGTACCCAGAACCCACATGACAGCCAGTGGCACTACGAGGACCTGGAGCTCTGCTTTGATAACTGTGTGACGTACTTTCTTCAGTGCCTCAAGACAGAGCGCCTTGAGAATTATTTCATTCCGGATGTCAATCTCTTCTCTCGAGACGAAATTAACAAGCTAAGTAAAGAATTTCTCTCAAAGCAGATTGAATATCAGCAAAACAATGGATTTCCAGTTTTTGATGAATTTTGAACCTTTATTTTTAAAAAGAATCCAAGAGTTAGAGTGACTTTATAATAATTGAAATGTACCACAACAGTGATTGACTAAAATGAATATAGTTGTTCAGCCATCAGTTTGTCTTCATAAAGTCTAATCAATATAAAAGGATGGATTATTCTAGAAAAGAGATTATTTAATGGAAGCAAAGGAGTACTTAAGGGTTTCCCCGGTGGTCCAGTGGTTGAGAATCCACCTGCCAATGCAGAGGACACGAGTTTGAGCTTCGCTCTGAGAAAACCCCGCATGCCCCGGGGGCAACTCACCCTGTGTCACAACGCCTGAGCGTGAGCTCTGGGGCCTGCAGCTCGCAGCTGCTGAGCCCGTGTGCACCAGCACCCCCTGGAGCCTGTGCTCCGTAACAGAGAAGTCACTACAGCGAAAAGTCCTCCAACGACTCGAGAACAGCCCCCCCGCCCCCAACCAGAGAAAGCCCTCGTGCAGCAACGAAGACCCAGCCAGAAATAAATAAGTAAATCTTTTAAAGACAGAGAAGTATTTAAAATAGAAAAGCTTTCTCAGAGTGGGGCGAAAAGATGGACGAAATACAGATCACCTCAATTAAATTCATCAAGCACTTACTGAACAGCACTCCTCACCGAGCACAAGTGTGTGGAAGGTGGCAAGAGACAATGTTAGAAATGATCATTGCTTCCATGAACGGGTAGATTTTGTTGAACATACGAATATATTTGGAAGCAGTGTCCTGTCCTATGCGTTAGGATAGGTTAAGAAGGAAATGAAAAAATCGGTTCTGCATGTCTTGGGAAATTGATTATCTTTTATAGAAAAATATAGGATACTTTCCTACCTGGCTAAATATAAAACATAACTTGTTTTCTTTTACTTTCAGTAATACTTTTATATGTATTTCTGAAAAAGCAATAATATACATATGGTACAAAACTCAAAAGAATATGAAAATGTTACCCTCTCTCTGCACTCGGGAAGCATTCAACTGGAGGGAGCTGCTGCTTGTTAACTTTTTTCTATTCATGTATTTTGCACATTTTCTTATTGGCTGTTTTATTGTTTTCTCACTGTCATTTTATTTTGTTGTTATTCTCATGTAATGAATAACTTCTGTGTGGATTGTCTATATCATTTTTGTGTCTTCTAGTGAGTGAGGTTTTAAAATTTACTTCTTGAACTTGTCAGTCTTTATGCTTATGTGCAATTTTATGTATCTTGTTTAACAACCTAATGTGTTCGAACATACTAATCATTGGACATTTGGAGAAGAGTTTCAGTGATAAATAAATAGAAAATAGTATGATAAATAAATAGAAAATTGGGCAAACAAAAAATCCAAACTTAACTCCAGGAAAAATTGTGTGCAAGAAAAGAAAATTAATCATAGTCTAGTTTGAGAATATTTCTCAGCTGTATTTATGAAGTCAAAGTAATATTATAACTATTGGCTATTAATTTGATCAGAATTATGATTAGTTATATAGAGAAGATAGGATAACAGTCTGAGTGCTTATGTGTAACAATGATGGTAGAGAGAGTTGGGCTATATTAGTTTTCTACTGCTGCATTAAACTTACCATAAAATTAGTGGCTTAAACTATACACATTTATTATCTCACTGTTTCTCTGGGATAGGATTCTGGGATAGTTCTGCACAATATCTCACAACACTTCAATCAAGGTGTAAGTTGGGGTTGCAGTCTTATCTGAGGCTTGACCGGAGAATTCAGTTTCTTACGGTTGTAAGACTGAAGACTTCAGTTTCTTGCTGACTGTTGGCCAGAGATTGTCCTCAGCTGCTAGAAACTGCCTTCAGTTCCCTGCCATATGAATGGCCAGCATTGGCAGCCCTCAGCATGTCAGCAGTTCACTGCTAGCAAGGGAGGGAAAAACTCCAGCAAGAGCGTATAACAGTCTTATTTCACCTAACAGCGAACATGTAATCATATGTATCTCATGCCCTTTACTACATAATTGGTTGGAAGCAAGTCACTATTTCCACCCATATTCAAGGGGAGGGGAGTCACTGAAGAGTGTTACGTCAGTTTAAACAACCGTATAGTTAGGGGGAAGACAGTCCCCCTGAGACCACTCACTTCTGACACCAATTGCAGCTTGAGGAGGTTCTCCAAATCATTCTTAGGTTTGATAAGTCACTGGGAAGATAGAACTCAACTGAAACCAGTATATTCATGGCTACAGTTTATTACAGGGTAAAGATACAGGTTTAAATTAGCCAAGGGAAAATGTCTAGGAGGGTACCAAACACTGAGGTTCTGTTCTTTTTTCCTTGGGAAGTCATGGGTATGTTTTATCTCTTGTCATTAGTGAATAACAATAAACACAAATACTGCCAATCAGGGAAGCTCACCTGAGTTGAGAGTTTTTTTATTGGACCTCAGTGATTGGCTTAATTCTTTGTTTTCAGTTTTGTCATCAGTTATCCTACCTTTTGGGCTTACCAGATGGCTCAGTTGTAAAGAATCCACCTGCCAATGCAGGAGACACAGGTTCAATCCCTGGGCTGGGAAGATCCCCTGGAGGAGGAAATGGCAACCCTCTTCAGTATTTCCTGAAAAATCCCATGGGTAGAGGAGCTTGGTGGGCTCTAGTCTGTGGGGTCTAGAGAGTTGGACACAACTGAGTAACACTTTCACATATGTATATGCATATGCCAGACACGACTGAGTGACTTTCACTTTCACATACATGTATAATTGTACTTATATGTACATACATTATGTGTTGCCAAAATATTTCAGAGTAATTTACACATATCACTATACTTCATCCCTAAGTAGATCAACATCCTTCTCCCAAAACCAGTAATTCCCTACCTTGTACTATTCTCATACTAACAATAATTATCTAACATTACCTGATACTCATTTCTCCAACTTTCAAGATCTGAGAACTTAAAGGCAGAAGTCCTATCCATAAGTGATACAGAAGATATTTCCTTAAAGTTTAATAAATGTTATTGATAAATTATGGTTGATAATAGTTGGATATAATGAAAAATGTTCCGGTCTGTCACAGCACAGCACAAAGCACATCCTAGCTTTACATGAGCTGAAGAGTTTTCATCTTTTATTTGTGGTATGCCAGATTTACCCTCTTGAAAGCCCTTGATTACTTTTCCTGTTTCTTCTGTTTTATCTATTCAACTTAACTACCAGCTTAAATTTGCTCATTTAGGAAGATATAGTCACACTTGTGAATTCATATTTGACATAGAGTGTTCCAGTGGTTAGGAGTTCGCCTTGCAATACAGGGCACATGGGTTAGACCCCTGAATTGGGAAGATTCCACATGCTTGGGGGCTACTAAGCCCCTGTGCCACAGCCACTGAGAGCACAGGCCACGCCTACTGAAGCCCGCGCAGCCTGGAGTCCATCTCTGCAAGGAGAAGCCACTGCTCTAAGTCTGCCCGCCCCAACTAGAGAAAACAGGTATACCAAGGAAGACTCTGTGCACACAGGAATAAAAGGAGGCTGTCGTTTCTCACAGAACTCGTGTTTTCTAATTTGTTAATTTCTACGTTTACTTTCCTTTTCTCTCCAATCTGCCAATCAGTAATACCAGGAAATTTACTGCATAAATAAGTAATACAAGATTAGGTAATGAGGGCCTAACTAATTATACACAAATATAAATACTAAATATTAATATTAGTAATTATCATATAGGGAATAGAAAGCTACACAAAACTAGGGGAAAGTGAGGGAACATGATCAGTCATGTTTTCATGGAAATGAATTTATCCAGGGTTTATTCTAGCATGGGGTGCTAGTCGAAAATGTAAGGAATAGCTGTTGCATATTTTGGTCCCATGAAATCCTTTCACTGTTTCATCTCAAAGTAGGTTAAGTATTAAAGTACTAAATACTATTTGGTAAATATAAAAGGCTATTGAGAAAGATCAGGTTGTTTCTTTTGTAAAACAATTTATTGTGTTAACAGCTTTTTCACTGCTTTGACAACACTGAAAAAGCTTTTAACTCTTTAAAGACTGCTATTGAGAAAGATCAGCTTGTTTCTTTTATCATAGAAAAAAAACTTATTGTGTTAGCTTCTTTTTCACTGCTTTGACAATATTGAAGAAGCTTTAAACTCTTTAAAGACTGACCTTAACATAGCAATATTACAGCAGATAAAATTTACTTTTCTTTAAATATAGTAAAACCCTATGTAAAAAATGTATATACTCCTTAAGTAAAAAATGCTATAGTCCTTAAGATCCACACAGGAAATTTCAACTCAAATTTAAGTACTTGGGGTTTTATAAAAACATAAAATACTGAATTCTACATTTTTAAACACTGTTGTTTTAAGAATCAGTCAAGTCTCTTCATACTGCCATCATGAATCCAGTACTTCCATATATTATTTAAATTTCTCCAAGAAAATTTGAGAAATGTAAAAAAAACCAACCCATAAATTGATGTTCCCAAGTCCTTAAAAAAGTTTAATTGTGATAACAAAGTTTACTGTTCTAACCATTTCCAAGTATATAGTCCAGTAGTGTGAAGTAGCAGCTATCCTAACTGAGGTGTGGTGATCTTGATTTTTTTTATTTTTTATTTTTATTTTTTTTTGTGGTGATCTTTAATTTTCATTTCCCTAATGATAAGTGAACATCTTTTCACTTGTTAAGCCATGTGTATGTCTTCAGGAAATGTCATTCAAGTCCTTTGCAAATTTATTATTTTTTATTGTTTTAATTGAAGTAGTTGATTTACTATGCTGTGCCAACCTCTGCTGTACAGTATCTGCACATTTTAAAATCAGGTTGTTTTTGTTCAGTTTTAGTTCTCCATGTTGTTGGTATTAATCCCTTGGTGCTATATGATTTGCAAAAGTATTTTCCCCACAGTTTGTTCATATGGCCCCCTGCTGGGCATTTATGTTATAGTCTTCCTGCTGCAAATACTGCTGTAATGTGTAAATCTCTACTTGCATATGCAGAGATATTTATAGATTACATTCCTAGAAAGGGAACTGCTGGATCAAAAGGTGTATGCACTTAAAATTGCTGCATTACCACCTAATTGCTCAGAGGAGTTTCTACCAAATTATACCTCCACTGGCTCCATTATGCTCTTAGTGATCTTTCTGCACAACTTAACGTTTTTTTCTCACCTCTCAATGGATACTTCTAAGATATATTAACTAGAATTTAGGTAACAGATAAAGAATAACATCCGTTAGTGACTCTTAGAGATAATGCTGATTGCAATAAACACACCTAACAAAGCCTAGTTAAGGAAAATAGGTATTTGAAGATCCATGTGTTATTCAAATTTTACCTCTTTTAAGTAGGCTGGTACCACTTTTCAACAGACAATAAAACTTGTGGGGTTTTAGACCTTGAGGTATTCCTAATTTGTTTTCCATTTCTTTTTTCAGTTTATTTGCTTTATATCTCTCACATAAGATCCTCTGAAGCCATTAAATATATTATTAGGATTGAGATGATTCTTTCACTGTAGCAGCTTTTCTATACAATATGCTGAAATGACCCAGATCTTGAGAGAATCTCCACAGTGATTATAGGACATCTTCCAAGCAAAGTGAAACATGTCCCTCTGCACATGAAGCACTGAACCCTCAAGCTCTAAAACCCAGATTGGTCTTACAAAACACCCATCAGTAAGTGCACTGCTCTCTTGCTCACATGGCCCATCAGCTGCTTCCCAGTGCCCCTTCCTGGGGCCACTGTCTGCCTTCTAGGCCTGAGAATGGCCCCTGCTTCCTCTAGAAAATTAATTCACTGGCGATCTTCTAATTATTCCCAGTGATAAGGGTAATAGATACCCTCGTACTCTTTCAAAGGGGAAAAGAACTTCAATGTAATTTGATTTACACTCATTATGGTTCAGCTAGCAAAATAGAATAAAAACAGCAGCAGCAAAACCTCAACTCTTCCATTCAAACAGCAATTTGGAATCTAAATGATCTGCAGTTATTTAACAGCATGTTTCAGGGGTTTTATGATAGCACTCACAGGGAAAAGAAGGTCTTCTTACACATGCCAACTTTGACACTGGGTATAGCTAAGTTGAGGCACTACAGAAATAAAGCCAAGACTGGAATTGGAAACAGCTACATGCCGCTAATCACAGAGGAGTCTGATGGTTCTGGAACAGGCCAAAAAGACAGGGATAACAGTAAAGCAGGCTCTGGGTCAGCTAGAGAGTTGGCTTTACTGCTGAATCCGCCTGCAATGAAGGAGATGCGGAGACACGAGTGATCCCTGGGCCAGGAAGATTCCCCTGGAGGAGGAAATGGCAACCCACACCAGTATTCTTGCCTGGGAAATCCCATGGACAGAGGAGCCTGGCAGGCTACGGTCCATGGGTTTGCAAAGCGTTGGACACCACTGAACAACTTAAAAATGAAAAAAACAAGAATAGTCAGGAAAATGAAGAGCCAGGGTTAGCTTTTTTTGTGGGTAGACTATGCTTACTTAACCTGCTCTTCCATTATGCCCTATTCTGTGCACATATTCATCGATGTTGCAGGGAAAATCGTAGTTACAGATGTGTGACATCATGGACATCGAGACCATGAGATGCTAAATCTGTAGCAATCAGTATTTGCATTTTACCCAAAGAGTAAAGCCAAAAAAATGTAGACATATTCTGGTAGAAACCAACCCAAGACATACCTGTTGGTTAATATCTAATCTGGTGAAGTACTACTAATATTAAAACACTTAATGAAAATGGGAAGTGATGGTTATAGTCTTCAATATTGTGCTGGCAAATTACAACACAATAGATACTGCATTCAAATGGTCCTGGATCATCTGAACCATTCAAAGATATATGCCTTTCAGGTACATTAGGAGAATGTCTCCCACTGCAAACTATTACCTTAATATCCAAGTTTAAACATTAGCCTGAGATATTTCTCAGAATCTGATTAATATTCAGAACTCAATTACGGTTCTTGGAACTGCAAATGAGGGCAGATCTCAAAAATGGATTCTATAAAAAGGTGCTATCACTCAGGCAAGTCTAGGCACTGTACACTTTTTAACTGCAATATTGTATAAATGTAGCTAGTACAAAATTTTTAAATGCTCTGTCGATCATTCTGTCCTCTTACCATGCAGAAACCACTGATAGACATGGATACCCAGGTTGCTTGATAAATGATCAGCCTTGAAGCAAAAGATAAAGTCAGGGATCTACGTGTTTCTTCTTCTTCTTTTTTAATAAATACATGTATTTATTTATTTATTTTTGGTTACACTGGGTCTCTGTCGCTGCGCACAGGCTTTCTCTAGAGGCGAGTGGGGGCTACTTTTCGTTGTGGTGTGCAGGCTTCTCATTACGGTGGCTTCTTGTGTTAAAGGGCATGTGCTCTA